TATCCACCAGAGAAGATGCCTCGGACATGAGTTCAAGCCAAATAGAAAGTCTTTACTAGCCTTCCAGTGACCCCACTGGGTGTTCAGAAGCTGATTGCAGTCCTGAGCCTTTCTCAGGATGGGCATTTAAGCACACAAAACAAATCCTGGATTGATACACCTCAGTTAGCAAGGACAGTTAGCCAGAAGCAGAACTACAGAAGCCAAAAAAGCAGCGTTAGTACATTTAGGGACTTTCCCAGAACTATCAACTTTGATGGAGTAGGTCTTTGTTCTCACTCTGGCTGGTGGTGCTCCCTATATACATGCTAGATTCCAAGGCCTGAATGGTACTTCCATCATGGCATCAGTTGTTCTAAGATGTGGGGGCCTGTGTGTGTGTGTACATATATATGATATATCATATATATCATATATATATTAGTGTTTCCATATTATATTATAATAACATTTGGGAGTTGAAACAAAATTAAGATCTTACATACCAAAGCAAAAGAAGTCTAAAATACTTAGGAATAAATTTGACTATTGATATTTAAGACCCCAAAACTAAAACAATATTAAGATAATTTTCAAAGGCTCAAATAAATGATGAGATGTATCATGTTTAAGAATCAAAGGACTTGTCGGGTGGTAGTGGCACACACCTTTAATCCCAGCACTCGGGAGGCAGAGGCAGGGGAATCTCTGTGAGTTCAAGGCCAGCCTGGTCTACAGAGTGAGTTCCAAGACAGGCTCCAAAAGCTACACAGAGAAACCCTGTCATGAAAAACCAAAAAAAAAAAAAAAAAAAAAAATCAAAGGATTCTAGTTTGATAATAGGCCAGCTTTTTCTCAAATTGGCTTCTAGATGGAGCACAAATTCAACTAAAATTCTGCCAGACATTTTATTGAAATTTTTTTATTGAAAAAACTAATTCTTAGATTTATATTGAAATGCAAAGAACCCTATTATAGACAAAATAATCTTTAGGATAAAAAGAACAAATCTGGAGAACATACATTATCTGATATTAGTACTTCTTATATAGATATAAGTGAGGACAGATAACTACCTCAGTGGATACAACAGAGTCCAGAAACCAACCCACGCAAATAGTCAATTGATTCCAAGAGTGTTGCTGAAGCAATATAGAGGAAGAAGGTCACCTCAGACTCACTAAGCTCTTCCATTCTTATATTAGTTTTTGACATTTTACATATTAGTGTCAAGTGCAAAGAGATGTGACTTACTTGTGTTGTATATGAAAGCCAGAGCTAACACATCAGGGCACTCCATGTGAAGTTGTCTGTTGAGTCTACTTGAATCAGAAAGCTAAGTCATACACCAGCTCTATTAAGATATGCTAAGTATTTTCAGTTTAAAAGGGGTTCTGGTAATTATGAAGTTCAAAACCACAGAAGTTTCTGGGAGCCTTTTTTTTTTTTTTTTTTTTGGTTTTTCGAGATAGGGTTTCTCTGTGTAGTTTTGGAGCCTGTCCTGGACTAGCTCTGTAGACCAGGCTGGCCTCGAACTCACAGAGATCCACCTGCCTCTGCCTCCCCAGTGCTGGGATGACAGGCATGCGCCACCACCGCCTGGCTCTGGGAGTCATTGTTAAGATAAATACCTGAGAAAGAATTAAGTAAAAATATGAACAATTTTTACTGAAATCTTAGCAAATTGGCTCTTTCCAGCGATAACATTTCTTTCCAAGACGTCACAGCTGTGGCTCAAGTCCTCGATGAATGTTAAAGTCACAGAGACTCCTCTCTGACCAGGTACCCTGTCACTGGAATGACCCCAGCTGTGCGAAGCCCTGAAGTAATGCTGGCTCACTGTTGTGTACGTTTCATTCACTCATTCAGTGTTTGTCATGTAGCAGTAGATATCAAGCAGATGATGATAAGCAAGACATGTATTGCTCTGTCACCACTTTCACGCGTAGAAAGTACAGACTGAAATAAATGCCCTCTCATAGTAGAATACAGATTAGTAGTGGCTGAACACTGTAAACTATCCATCTCATGCTTCCTACATTTTATACCAGTGTCAGCCAATAGAAATGCAATGTAAGCACGTATGTAATTTTATATTTTCTAATAGCCCCATTAAAAGGCATAGGGTGATTTCACTTGGGTAATATATTATCTAAATTAATATATCTAAAATATGATTTTAACATGTAATCAATATTTATTTACTTTTTGCAATGCTGAAGATCCAACCTAGGGCCTTGCAGATTCCGGGCAAGTGCTGTATCACTGAGCAATACCCTCCAGTCTCAATATTTTTATATTTATTAAAGGATCTTGTAAAGATACTGTACAGGGGGCTGGAGAGATGGCTCAGCAGTTGGGAGCACTGGCTGCTCTTCCATAGGACCCAGGTCCAATTCCCAGCAGCTCACAACTCTCTATAACTCCAGCTCCAGAGGATCTGACACCCTCACACCAGTTCACATAAGAAAAAGATACTGTGCCAAGATGTGCTTCCTATAGGACTTATCTCAATTTGGATAAGCCACATTTTAGCTATTCAGTAGCCACATGTGGGGAATGCCTACCTAATTGACAGTGTACATGTGTGAATCAACTCCGGTTTGTTGAATTTTAAAGCTGGACTCCAGAGAGAGACCTGATGGTGTATCTGATGCTCAAGGAAAATCACTGTGTCTGGGAAATAACTTCCATTATTGTATTCCTAGAAATCCAGGACTTGTGGTCAAAATGAACATCATTCTGCTGTGGTTGTATAACTCCCTGAGAGAATCCCAGAGTTTTGCCATATTTATAGACAAATCTACCTAGCCAGTGTGCAGATAGATCCAAGTGGTCTCTGGGAACTGTAAATACTCCTGGTGTATTGATTCCCCCAATAATGATTTTCCAGAAGGCAAAAATATTGCTATTCAAATTTCTCAATAAATATCTGTAAAATGAGTGGTGAACTGAATCAATATCCCACATATTATTCTCTGACGCACAAACAAAATATTTTTAGCTCCAGGTTAATGAGCTCATGTTTATTTACACGCTTGTCTCCTGTTTAAAATTCATTTGCATCTTAACAGAATAATTTTTGTTCTTCTACCTAAGGTCATTATTTCCATTAGGCTATCCATCCCCATATTTCCAAGACTGCAACTAATTTACCCTGCTATGCTGAATTTAGAATTCTGAATTTATAATCACTCACCAAGACCGAATTTCAGCTGTGATTTAGGAAAGGTGTGAGTTGGAACCAGTGTGGGTTTGGTCATTGTTTCAACACCAATGTTTATGAATTCGTCATCGAGTGGGTCTACCCATCTCTGCTCCTTCAGAACCACCTGGGGTGCAGAATGCTGGGCCCACTCCAGACTTGAGTCTCTGGAGACGGTCCTCAGGAACTTGCTGTGTGAACAGTCAGTACCAGAGCAGAGTCACTTCACACTGAAGTTTGACAACCGCTGTCATTCATACAGTGAGGTTCTATGATAATGTAACTAAGGATGAAATTACACATCACCGTCTCAGTCGATTCTGTGACTGCAACAAATGCTATCCAAGTGTTTACTGGCTCTTCACTACCTATGCTGGCGCTTTCATTGTATACCGTAATTTCCCTTCCGGTAAAGTTTTCATTGTGCAGGAATGCTCCTTGATGTAGAGGTTATGAATGATGGATTCTACTAGAGTCAAATTATATTTATCATAAGTGAGCTAATGTCTGAAATCAAATTGTCTAGGACTCAGATAACGTTTTCTCACACGTTCCCCTAGTCTCTGTAATGTTTGTGACAGTGTCGGGAAAGGTGTGCCTCGTTCCTTTCTTTTTTTTCCCTCTGAAATCATTTTAAGTATACTTTAACTCAATCATAGTTCCGCAGAAAGCTATTGAACCAGACACAAGGACTGGAGCTTAGAAAGTGAATCAGACTCAGTGTCTGCCCTCTAGGAGGTCACAGCCTCAGCAAGGCAATGGCGAGAGACAGGTACCTTATGTTAAATGTAATGTATGAAGGCAGCAAGGGGCAGGGAGAAGCAGGGGGTGGGTAACTGCCTGAGAAAGGGAGGCAGGGGCCGGCTTCAAAGAGAGGATGCCACTCTGTATGCATATGAGCCACAGCCAGCTACGTGGATGAAAACATTCCTGCAAGGTTGTCCAAGGTACAGGGAATCTCAGAATTTGGAGTCTTCTAAGCCAGAATGCACTTTTTGCACTAACCACAGCTTTCTCCATGAACCTGGCCTTTAGCAGCACACTGGCCACCGTTTTTTCATAAGGAATTCCCTGTGGTAAAATCTAAAGAGTGATACATTTCCTTTCTAGGCCCTTCAATGCCATTTAATTCACACCAGCAATAACTACATAGGAACCTACCTTTAAGAGTTGCCAAAAGCAGTGTGCTGCTAATTTATGGCCACATCTATTAAGGCTCTAGAGAGAATCTAACTCTTGGATTTTAAATATAGTTGATATTACCATGGTGTTTCCTGATTTAATCCCTCCATAAATTAGATGAAATGATCATATTACCTGTTGTCACTTCATTCTTGCCCCATCTCCAATTGCCTTCGTTAATTCAGAATGAACTACCACAAAGCATTAATGGAGATGGGGGGTTGCCTTTTTACGACTTCAATATCACACTGAAAGATGCCTAAGCTTTTACTGGAATAGGGGGAAAGAGGGAGATGGGTAATCATACTTATCTCTTGCAAGCCTGTTAATAATAACCTTGCTAGATAGTTCCAAGTAGGGCTTGGAGATATGAAATAGCTTATCTTCATCTCTCTGCAAGCAGTTACCGGAGCCCCCACACAAACCCAGGCCTTCTGACTCTAAATCCAAGGCCCTTTCTGGTGTGACCTCAACTCTTCTGGGAATTCTATAAAACGGTTCCTTCAGTGTTTTGCAGTGAAAGGCATTATTGCCAGCCTGTAAACAAGACCAGAAATCTTGCCATTCCCCATCACTTTGCCGCCAGTGTTTTTACCTTATCCCTTCACAGTCATTATTTGGTGTTCTCTTACAGAAGGCAACAGACTACTGCAGCAGAAAATGTCCTTAGATGGGAACCCCAAACCTATTCATGGACCATCAGAGAGGTCAGATGGTCTACAGTGGTCAGCGGGGCAGCCTTGTAACCCAAGCAAACCCAAGGCAAAAACATCTCCTGTTAAGTCCAATGCCCCCGCAGCTCATCTTGAAATAAAGCCAGATGAGCTGGCAAAGAAAAGAGGTAAAGTGATTTCTTTTGCACAGATGATTCAACATATTCTGCACACACATTAAAGTGCCAGGATGGCAGAACTTTCCAGAAAAATGCTGCTTAGCAAAGGGGGTCATCCATGCAATTGAATTTCTTCTTCATTTTTTCCCCCTATGATCCACTTGGATGGAAAATGGAAAGGCAGATGTAGTCCTTCCCTTGTCAGTCTCAGAGGTCTAGGACTACGGAGGTGGACTTCATCCCCTTCTCTGCCCCCATTGTGGATGGAGGAGTGGTCGTTTATCTCAGTCACTTAGGAAGCAGTATAAGTGCGGGACAGATTAGTGCCTCCCAGGCAAATGAAATTCAGGCCTGTGTGGATGAAGATGAATCTAGAGCCTGATAGGTCCTCCTTGAGGGATGGTCTTCCCTGTGGGAACTCAGTTCTGTATTAGAACTTTCAGGCAATCTAACATGGAAAGGATTTTCTGTTTGACACACTAGATTTCCATTTTTCAAACCTTAGTGTCTTTGACTCGTAACTAGCCTTACAAATGAAACAGCCAAGTCACTTCCTTTCAGATTCCAAGACTAAATAATGTCCTTCTGACCCAGCCTCAGTTGTGTTTGATTTCCTTGGCTTTGGCTGGGCACACTGGTGCCAATTTCTTGAGGGAGAGTTCTTTCTTTGAAGAAGCATGCTCCTGGTGAGATAAGACCAGTCTGTTGGCCATGCAGGCTCTCCACCCCAGTACAAGTTACAGGAAACCCGGGAAGATGGTCCCCCAAAGAGCTGCTTTCACGCTCTTGCTGTTTCCAGGCCTGGCTCAGGACGCTGGTCGGGAGCCAGCATACCTACCTGGCCCTCACGCCCCGGCCTCTCTAGCCCATTTGTACTTCGTCCCGTCTCTATGTCATTTTCCTGCTCCAAAATCTCTCTCGGCTCTGAGTCACATGCAGTGGTGTTCACAGCGGGAGCCGGCCGCACTAATGGCCTTTAGATCGGAAGACACTGCAGTTCATGACACTTCCCGAAGAGCAAAATGACAGGTGTCCCCTACGTGGCACAGCCAGAGCCCCCCTGGGTGAAGGCATTCTAGAGAGCCAAACAGACCATTCCCTCTTAGCAAGGTGTTTCCTCCAGAACACAAAAGAAAGGTCTGTTTGGGGTGGATGACTTGCCTCATTTTTTTTTTAAGCTCATAAATAAAAGACGAAGTGGTGACGCTAATCATTTTTTTTTTCTTGGCATCAATTTTAGGCCCAAATATCGAGAAATCGGTGAAGGATCTGCAGCGCTGCACTGTTTCTCTGACCAGATACCGCGTCATGATCAAAGAGGAAGTGGACAGTTCTGTGAAGAAGATCAAAGCAGCTTTTGCTGAACTACACAACTGGTGAGTAGTTCGACCCACACCTGTAAATTCACCGAGGCTGGGCTGCTCCCGTGGCCGGGGAAACAACATCAGACGGAAAAGGTGGTTTATTTCATGCATAAACATCACAGAACAGCTCTCTGGCTGTCGTTTTTAAAGTTCTGCAGGCAGGAAAACAGATCTTGGGAATGAAAAAGAAAAAGTATTTGAATAAGAACAACTCTGATAGACATCGTAATTCACGGAAGATTGAAGTTGGTCTAATAGCATATCAAGGATATGGACTAAAACTTATCAGGGGGGCGGGGTGCTTAAATGGTATTGACATCCATGAAAGGCTAATCACATGAGAGATCTTCGAAAAAAATCAAAAATATTCCCATCATTATCATTAAATTCCCCTAGCAAAAAAGAAACATCTTATTCCGTGATAGAGCTCCGTTCTTGACGTAGGCAGTAGGGGTTATATCAGCTGTGATAAAAGGACCTGAGGAAGGAAGGGTGTACTTTGGCTCCCAGTTTGAGGGTGCAGGCCACCGTAGCAGGAGCTCATGGCTATGGCGGCAGGTGGCAGGAGCCAGAAGCCGCTGGCCACCTTGCATCCGTATTCGGGAAGCAGAGCCGATGAGTGGGTGCTGCTTCCCAGCTTGCTTTGCTTCTTTTTATTCATATTCAGGACTCCAGCCCACCGACCGCAGATACAGTGGGCCTTTCCCACCGCAGTTCATCCGATCTAGGTAATATCTCGCTGGTGTGGCCGGAAGCTGGCCTCCTCGGCCATTCTAGAGCCTGTCATGTTGACAATCAGCATCAGCCACCACCACCGTGGTGCTCATTACCGCCCAGCTCGCTGCCCTTCACGGTGTACTCAATCAGCCTGTTTTCTTCCTTTCAAAAAAATAATAAAGTGGTCCCCTGATGTGGTTTAGATGCTGCCCCTACCCTCCCTTCAGCTGGTTTTAATGAAAAAACGCTCTCTCTAAGTCCTGGATGTTTACTTATGTGAAATATTTATTATTATATAGATTGTTATTATCATGGGAAAAAAATCTCAATTAAGATTCCATTTCCAATGAAAAAAGCCATACTAAAGATAAAAGAGAAGCTCATAGCTGATATATGTGTGTGTATATATATGTGTGTGTGTGTGTGTGTGTGTATGTATGTATATGTACACACACACACATATATATATTTATATATATTTTATATATATATATATATTTATATATATATATATTTATATATATATATTCCAGAAGCTCCGTTCAGATTCAGGTAAATCTACTTCTAAGTCAAATTGTACTCTCGTACCATCAGGATCCAGTCTCTCTCCTCCTTCCTGCCTCTTTCCTCACTCTCTTCCTCCATTCTTTCTTTTGCAGTATCTCCCACAGTCTCCCAGTTTTGCTTATTTTTTACCTCATTCTTCGACAGACACCTCTGTGGCTCTGTGGCAGCAGATTTCGCCGCTTCTGGGCTTCTCCATTAAGTCTTAGCCCCTGAGACTAGGCCGTAATTCCAGCAAGAAAAAAAAAAAATGCAATGGCTAATTTCCATTGGCTGGTTTTGGTCACGTGTAAGTCTCTGTAGAACAACCGCCAACGTGGCAAGAGAAGCGGTCTTCCCACTCCCTGTCTGTTCAAAGTCCAAGGCTTCTCACAGTGTTGGCTGTAGGATGAGTCCCAACAACTCCATAAAGTGAAAATTGAAGAGCCACAGTTATCCAGGCCAAAATACAGGTGCTCCCACCGAATGAAACCACCCAACCGTGGTACCCAGGGTCATGGAATTATCCCCCATATCTCCTTGGCCTCCCTTGATACCAGAATTTTATGCATTTTTTACATATTTTTCCATGCCAAGTCCTTGCTTTGACACTGATGCGCTTTTTTTTTTTTTTTTTTTTTTTTTTTTTTGGTTTTTCGAGACAGGGTTTCTCTGTGTAGCTTTGCGCCTTTCCTGGAACTCACTTGGTAGTCCAGGCTGGCCTCGAACTCACAGAGATCCGCCTGGCTCTGCCTCCCGAGTGCTGGGATTAAAGGTATGCTCCACCACCGCCCGGCCTGATGCGCTTTTTAACAGAAGCTGTGGAGTTGTAAAAACTAAGTATTAAACTTCAGACTAACTTAATCTAAAATTCATGAATTTTAAGCCATCTGCTATGTACAAGATCCCAAGGGTACAGGAGACACCGGGAACTTGACAGGAAACTGTCTCCTTCAGTCACCACTCAGACCTTACAGGTCTTCTGAGATGAGCAACCCTCTACCCTCATCCAGCCATGGTATCCATGGAACTTTCCTCTGGATCAGAATGTAGCTAAATTGTTCAAAGCAACTCCCAGAACTCATGTGATTACTTAAGCACAGCAGAGATGCTGTACTATCGAAGATCAGAATTCTTAGTCATTTCTAATTATGATTTTTCCAATCTCTCCTTAAGTCAGTTGTCCTGTTGCTTGTAAGTCTGCCCAACAAGTGTCTAGAGCCAGAGACAACAGAGGTTAGCTGGAAAGGACCAGCTAGTAAATTTGTTAAGCATTCCAAGCTCATGGTCATCCCCCTCTGCTTGCGTTTCTAAAAGCAACCTTGGACAATGCAGAAAGACATGGGACAAGGTTGGCTCCTGGGGTCTGCCATTTGCCAGCCTTGGTCTTGGGGGATTAGTCCTCAGCCTGGGGGGCAGTTCTGTGCCCTGTCCATCTGGCTGGCACTGTCGAGTAAGTGCTTCCTCTGAGGACCCCTTGTGATGACTTCCATGTGAGTGACTCAGGCGCTAGCTGACCAAGTGGATCGGTGACCTCAAATTGCCTCTCCTCTCGCTGCTATGACGGCTTTTTATTTACTTCGTTTTGTGTATTAGTAAAATGAATAGCACACGGGTCACAAGACCGCTGGAGATTTACAACGGATTCTTGGAGCTTTTGACTCCTCAACTGGTGGAAGTGTGCAGCAGGAAAGCCAGTGGCCATGGAAGTTGGGTGTGATTTCTGTGTTCCGGATTCCCCTTCCACTTTAACCTGGTGGGAAGATGAGTTCTGAATGAGCCCTGCCATGCTAAAAAGTCCCCCACAAGACAAAAGGACACTTGCCTTCCAAATCAAAAGAAGAAAGCATGTAGTTCAACCCTTTGCTATATGGGGCGGCTACCAAGTAAACCCCAACACTCCTTTTCTGACCTAACCCTTAATAAAAACCATCCCACAACAATGTGTGCTAACTTTTTTTTTTTTTTTTTTTTTTTTTTTTGGTTTTTCGAGACAGGGTTTCTCTGTGTAGCTTTGCGCCTTTCCTGGAACTCACTTGGTAGCCCAGGCTGGCCTCGAACTCACAGAGATCCGCCTGGCTCTGCCTCCCGAGTGCTGGGATTAAAGGCGTGAGCCACCACCGCCCGGCAATGTGTGCTAACTTTAAAAATAAAACCAAATTAACGTTTAAACATAGCCATTTACATGCATTTCTGCCAAGTGGAAAACTTGGCTTCTGCTCCAGACAAGCCTTTGGCCCAGGCAGCACAGTGATGACCTAAGACAGAGCCTCCTCTTGCCTCCTAAGGGAAAGGGAAGGATGAATTTTAGGAATTGTGGTACTCAGGAAAATATCAGGCTCCAGAAGACTTGGGAAAGAAGTTTCCCTACTGATGGCTGGGTCACGTTCAGTAGGCAGTAGAGGGAGTTGTGTGCCTAGTACCACCAGTTTAAATACAGGCAAACCTTGGGCTCAACCAGAGGGAGGTTGTAGACTTGGAACGCATGGACCACGTCCTCTGGCTTTCTGAAGAAACTGCTCATTCTAGAACAGTAATTAACTCGTATGACCCTCAGTGGCATGAGTTAGTGATCCTACCCCTAAGTCCATCTTCTGGTCCTTATTTGGATCACCCAGTCCTCCTAACTCCCAAGTACTCAGTAGCGGGTCCTTTAGAAATAAATAAATGTATAAAAAATACATCTAATATAAAACATTTAAAAAAGACAGGAAAACAGATTTCACTTTGCCTCCAATTGCCAACTTGAGGACACACGTCCTGCTTGAGTGCATCCCACCAAAACTCCTGATGAAGTTCATGGGAATGGTGACTTCCAGAAGCTAGAAGAAGGTGGTTGCTGTACATCCTCCGGCCTTACAGAGGACACACCAGGGCCAAATGAGCTGTGTATTCACCCTTCCCAAGCAGGCCGTGAAGAACACTTGCCCAATACAGTTACCAAAGAAAACCACTAAGTAGCTAAAATACAACATTGGCGTTTCACCTGGACACAGTCCCACGTGGCTAAGTGGCCATCCATGGGGCATTCCCACCTTCTGAGAAAGATCTGAGTGAGTAACCAAGACGGCATGACCCTCTCCCACTACGTCTGAACAGAAGATAAACTTGGCAACAGGAGCATAAAAAGTAACATCAGGAACTAACGTGAAACAGCTGACTGCTTCTCGGCACGACTGGCCTCCTACCACATCTGGAAAATAGTCATCCTCTGGAATCGTAGCTGCCAGATTTAATTGCTCTGTGTGTCGACTAGTCTAGCTTCCCCTCACAAACCCAGTGTTTGTGTGTCCAAGTTGATTATGAAGACTCAAAAATGAGCAATAAAACATGAAATTGAAAAAACATTGAGGAAGTATAATAGCACTCAATATTTCTGCCATATGCCGGGAGAGAAAGTATCCCAAAATAGAGCTATAAAAATCCTGTTAGGTGTTATTGTCAACTTAACGTCTAATTAAGAGCACTCTTAAGGAAGACGGAAGCTGGTCTGGAGCCAGGAAAGTAGTGTGTGTACGAGTGGCAGGGTGGGTGGAGGTGGCGATGAGGTATAGAGATTGAGGGATGGAGGTGACAACCACTTCAAGCTGTTTTACTTTAAATTAAAAAAAGGCAGTCAAAGCACACATTTCCATAGCAAGGGGCCACACTGACCCTACGTCTTGTGTACTTTTCCCTGGAGAAGGGCTGTATTCATTACCTTTCTCATTGCTGCGGCCCAATAGCACAAGGAGCACCTTAAGGAATGAACG